GAGCAGGGGAGGGTCAGAGAGAGAGGGAGTCACAGACTGAAACAGGCTCCAGGCTCTGAGCTGGCAGTCAGCACAGAGCCCGACGCGGGGCTCGAACCCACGAACCGCGAGATCGTGACCCAAGCGAAAGTCGGACGCTTAACCGACTAAGCCACCCAGGCGCCCCGAAACTCATCCTTTTTAATGAAAAACAAAGTTGGGTTTTTCCCCCAGTGTCAGGGTGTTATTTAGCGGTGAACCCTGGGGCAGGGTTTGCCCCCCAGGATCCTAAGGACTGGCCACCATGGAGTGGTCAGGAGCTGTGGGCAAGTTGCAAGGCGTATACCTGGGGGTCACCGGCAGAAGGTCATGACAGCGTGCCATGAATTGTCGGCATGAACACACCATAATTTCTCAGCAAGAAACCACAGATAGGATGATGAGCAAATGACCTATTCTTTACCATGCCAAGTCTGAGGCTTCTCTAGGGCCTAGAATCTAGGTGCTGACAGCCCTGTATTTTCAGGGAAGGTGGCTGAGCCTCAGATTTGACTGACAGTAATGGTTTCTTGACTTTAGCAGGTTAGGTCTTGACCACTGTGCTTCATTGTGGGAATAATGGTTAGCAACAGCAGCCCTTAGTCTTTTGTGGGGGGTGTTAAGTCTTCTTCTGGGATTCTCTGATGACTCAGGAAGGGTCTGCTCCTTGTTCTAGAGAACAAAGTGGTGTGTGGTCACCTGCCCTCCGTGGTAAGACAAGTGTGGCCGTGACGATTGTGGGAGTCACACCGTGGCCACTGTTGGATCCTACATCATTTCCGCTCAGTCCCACCTCCATGGTAGAGAGCTCCGAAGTGGCCCAGAAACCTGAATGTGTGCTTCCTTCCCTTACAGGTAACGCTCTGCTGCGGCGACTTGTGCGCATTGGGGTGCTGGACGAGGGCAAGATGAAGCTGGATTACATCTTGGGCCTGAAGATTGAAGATTTCTTAGAGAGGCGCCTGCAGACCCAGGTCTTCAAGCTGGGCTTGGCCAAGTCCATCCACCATGCCCGTGTGCTGATCCGCCAGCGCCATATCAGGTACCACCTCGGCTCCTGGAGTCACTCCCACACCCCATCCTTCTGGTTGCCCTTCCTGAGTTTACTGTCCTTACCTCCTGTACAGACCTTGGAGGTGACAGGTGTGAACACCTTGAGGGTACAGATTGACCTCAGCAAAGAGCTCATGGGGTGCTGGGGACAGCTTTATTCTCCCCCTAGCCCAGCGCAAGGGTCACTGCGGCCTGAGCCGTACACCTTGTGAAGGCTTCTACAGGCCTGCAGGCAGCTGGACAGGTAACCACTCTGGGTGAGCCCAGCTGAGAGGTTGTTGGGCCTCAGCTGGCTTGAGTGGGTTCGTGGGTCCAGCTGTCTGTTGGGCCCACACCTGGTGGCTGTTGTGTTCTTGCGCAATGTCTATGTTAACTCGGTAAGCTCAGTCTGGTTTGATGCTCAAGTGACTGTGGGGACCACAGGGTTGGGGGGGGGTGGCCAGCTCCAGGTGGCAGCTTTCAGGGCAGAAGGGTCTTCTGAGTGCTCTGTTTGCCCTTCATTAGATTCCGGAGAACATGGGCTTGGGTGGCGGCTAGGACTGTGAAGCTGCACTTTAGATGCTGAAGCTCAGCGGCTGGCACAGTTGAGGTTTAAAGATCAGATCCTGGAATTGCTGCCATTGTCACCTCCTTACTTTGTGGTCACATGTGGGGGCTCCTTGTGAATGTCTCTGTTTCTGTAAGACACAAACCGGAAAGTCCTCTCTGATGCTGACACTCTTCTGATCACATGGGTGCTGTGGGGTCACGGTGGTGGCAGCACCCACTCTACCAAATGCAGAGTCCAAGCAGAGAGTAGGGTCTCGAATCTTGCTGGCGTCCTGTCCCCCATCCCCTCACCTGCCATCCCCCCTCCAGGGTCCGAAAGCAGGTGGTGAACATCCCGTCCTTCATTGTCCGCCTGGACTCCCAGAAGCACATCGACTTCTCCCTCCGCTCTCCATACGGGGGCGGACGCCCTGGTCGCGTGAAGAGGAAGAATGCCAAGAAGGGCCAGGGTGGGGCTGGAGCCGGAGATGATGAGGAGGAGGATTGAGCCCACCGCACCCATTCCCCCCTGGGCCCCTGGATTGCCTAGTTTTCTAGTTGGAAAATAAAACAGAATCAATCCTTTGGAACTGGTGTTTATTGGTTTGTCTCCCTTCTCTGAACACAGGTTTCTGTGGTGGGAAAAAGCCCAGGCTGGCTCCCTCACCAGGCTTTCTCAAACTAGCAAGTTCACACTTGGAGCATTGCCTTTGTTTAAAGGGGCCTGGGGAGCCTACCAGCTGTTGGTCCTTGTTGGGGCAGGGGAACTACACCCCACTTGATCTCTGTGGGGAGACCAGTGTTGCCAAGCCAGCTATTTGCATTGGGGTGGGGTGGAATCCTTTTCAAACAGGAAGTAGCAAGTGAAGGTCAGGGGTTAACATTGGGGTGGGAGCAGAGAGCTGAAACTGGGGTCCCTGGTGGAGATGAACTAGTGTAGTTGGTTTTTGGTAGGGAGTCTTTGAGAGGATCCACAGGCTCAGCTCCTTTTGGTGTGGTTGAGAGGTGGGTAAGTCCTAATTAGTGGCCTGTGGGAAGGGACATTCAAGGTGCTCCATTCCCCTCCCCTTGCATCTGGAGTCTGAACACTCCTGGCCAGGAGGGAGCTGGGCTTCCCTTTCCTCTACTTTGGGAGGGGGAAGAAGGGCCTTGGTCTCAGGAAATGAGAGGCCCTTGGCATTGAGCAATGGCTCCTGGGCTGCAGCTGCTGCATGAGTCAGTCCTGTGGCTTTGGGCTCCGCTCCCTTGAAAGGGCCCAGCTTCAGTGATGGCCCTGGGGTCCTGGGAGGCTGCCTGCCTGCCATGGAGCCTGTGGAAGGTCCTGAGTCCTTGCATCCTAGTGCTGGTTGGTAGGCCCTGCCCTTCCCCCACCCCATGTTGGCACTTACTAATTCGTGGTCTTGGCACTTAGGGTGGAATCCTTGTAGTGGGCAGGGTCCCTTTATAGGAACTGTAAGATGAGCTGTGTAATGGGAATTTCTAGAAGTTTCCACCGGGTCCCAGTAGTTGTCTCGTCTCCAGGCTGCCTAGGGTCAGGTAGCATTCGCTGGGCAGCTCCTCTGCCGTCCAGGCTCCTGCAGGAGACCTTCCAGACCCCTGGAGTGTGGGATGTGGGTCCTGCCTGGGCTAGCGGATGGCCAGAGACACATACACACTGGGCTCTACTGGGGGGTCCTCTGTTTGGGAGGAAGGGGGTCCGCTGGTCTCCCGCCTGAGGGTCAAGCAATTGAGCTGGGCATAGGTCACATCTTGAGGGTCTTCAGAAACGAAGCAGTTGATCTGGGCATAGGTCCCATCTTGAGGGTCTTCAGAAACCACAGCCTGGAGCAGAAGGAGAAGGAAGGCACATGGCTGGGGCAGAAGAAAGCCTGAGGCCTAGGGAGGGGAGGATGCGCCCCCTGGGGGTCTAAGGGCCTTGTTAGACACAGTGAGGGGTGGTCTTGAGCCCAGTCTTGCTCTCCCTGAGCCTGTTATCTGTGGGGAAGGAGGACTTGACGTCAAAATGCCTGTGGCCCGGACACGGAGCGGGTACATGGATGGGTGACCACTGGAATCTAGTGCTGGGGGAGGACGAGGCTGGAGGTAGGAATTGAGCGTGGGCCTTCAATGTGGGCGGACAGGCCATTCGTGCCCCCACGGGGGGTTCAGCCTGTTGGCCAGGGTGAATCATGTGAACAGCCATGGCCATGGGTGGGACAGATGCAGAAAGACAAAGCCGAGGACTAAGCTAAGCTGTAGGACCACTCTGGATTTTAGGAGGTGCCTTCTCTGGGCCTCTACTGGCCCAGGGCCTGGATTTCAGCCCTTTGTGCAGGGCACAGACAGCCCTAAACTCCAGCTCTGCCCCCTTGACCTGAGTGTCCAACAGCTCAGCATCAGAAGAGACTAAGGGCCCTGGGGTTGCAGCCACCCAGAGAGCGGTGGGCGTGCTTTCAGAAGGCAGAGGCTGCCGGCTGCCTGGTGGAGTGTTCGCTGGATTTACCACATGAACAGGGAGACGGGTGCCCTGGTCAGGACCACGGGGAGCCCACCTGGCTGTCCAGCTGTCTGTCCCCTTCAGGCTCTATGTCTTTCATGACGGCATCTGGTGGGGACAGAACAAGGTGGTCCCATCTCTTGCCAAGATCCCTTGAGATCTTAAATGGCAGGAGCCCAGAGAGGGTCAGTCTCTGGTCCCCCAGTCTCTTGGTCTCACGCCCAAGCCCAGAACCCTCTGCCACCGTCCCCGCCTCCCTGCCCACCACGTTCCCTGGGCCCGCCTCCTCCCAGGGTGGCCCCAAGCTTCCCCTTACACAAGTTCTCATCCTGGGCAGCGTTGGCGGCACTGGGACCGGAGCTGGGGAGGAGACAGGGCTGTTAGGGGCAGTGAGGGCCCACCGGCTGGGGGGAGTGGGTTCTCGGCGAGGTCTTACCTCTCATGCAGGCCTTTGTCCTCAGGCGCTGGGACTGCGGCTGCTGCGGGAAGTTGGAATCAGCCTCCGGCTCCCCACCCTGGAACCCTCCCCTGGGCCTGCCTTAAACTGAGGGTCTCAGAACTGGAAAGATTATAATCCCCTCCCGTCACCATATAGAATTCTAAAGGAAGCAGTTCTAAATGATAAAAAACAAAACTCGGATGTGTTCTCAAGCATTTCACAAATTTGAGAAGGCAAAAAATTAAAATATTTACACGTATGCTCACATGTACTCCTCTCCAGACTTTCTCACTGGGCGATGCTGGAGTTTTTCTACGCTGGCCTTTCCCACGTCTGGTGTCCCTCTGGCTGGTACCCTGAGCCACCCTCACCCACGGGAGAGTCACCACCCCCTGGGGCTGGTCACCCCGTCCCTTCTCACCCAGCTTCCTGCCTTTGCCCCGACGCCGGCGACGGACGAGGAGGACGACCAGGAGGCAGAGCAGCAGCACCAAGGCCCCCGCGGCCCCGATGAGGACGTACAGGTACCAGGTGAGACCTTGGGCACAGGCACACCGCGAATGAGCCGGTGATGCGGTTTAGCTGAGCGCCTACTGTGTGCCAGGCACGTGCGGGGCTCTGGGCATTCACCTCCGACCTTGTCAAGGATTACGTAGCAGGGGACTGTCGCCCCGCTCACCCACTCCACAGACAGGAAACTGAGGCACAGGGAGGCTGATCATGTGTCCCAGGTGGCCCAGCATGGAGGCGGCAGGGCTGGGACTGGAACCCGGGCTGTGGGTTCCCTGCTGGGATTTTGGACTTTTTTTCACGCTGTCCCCTAACCACCCCCACACCCAAGCAGAACACCAGAGCGCAGACCTGTCCACCAAACCCAGTCCCCACCCCCTCCAAGCCCAGATCCGTCTCCCGCCGTGCACAGGCCTGACACCCCCTGCGGTGGCCTGTGTGGATGTGCTGTGTGCATGTGCTTCTGCAGGGGCAGGCAGAGGGCTCTGCCCTTCCAGAGCCCTGAGCGCGTTCACCCGAATCTCACAGTGGCCCTGAGGGAGGCGGCCAGAGGCCTGCTGTGTTCACTGTTAGCCATGGGGCTCGGAGAGGGACGGACTTGTCCAGGATCCCACAGCTGGGGAGAAGCAGAGCTGGGGTCTGAACCTGGGGCTGTGACTTCCAAGCCTTGCTCTTTCCCCCACTGCACAGCCGCTCTCAGGCTGAGCCACCGTTGCCGTCTGGGGGGGTTAACTCCATTACCTCCTGTGTGTGCCCACGGCCCCGCCCCACCCCGCACACAGGCCAGCCACCTTCTTGCCCTTTGCAATTGGAGGACTTGGCCCAGTGAGAAGGAGCTTCTCAGGTCATAATCTCAGGAAGAGGCTGAGGCAAGCCTAGACGGAGCTCCTCCCACCCGCAACCCCCCACAGAGACCCCACTTACCCCTCCATGGGGTGACTGGTGCATCCTCAGAACCTCCTGGGGACCAGGACAGGGAGGTAAGGGTGGTGCTCTGTGCTCCCCACTTCAGGGCGCTCCTTCCCCAGGTGGGAGCCAACCTTTCCCTCTGCATCTGGTCCAGACTCAGAGCCCCCAGAACCCTGGGGTCACCCTGACACAAGCCATGCAGAGATGGTGATCTTGGTCCCCCAGGATCCAAGCCTCTGCTAGTCCCCCACCCTCGTGTTGGTGTCTGTGGGTAAGGAACACCTCGGACTGGAGACTGGAGGGGATGGGTGCTGGGCCTTAGTCCTCCTTCCGTCAGGGCCTCGGCGGGCAGGTGGGAGGCAGGGAAGGAGGTGCCCAACCGTCTCTCTGAGAGCCGGGGTTCCCATCTACCCTTCTGGCTGCTCCCCCTTCTTTTATTTTTAATATTTATTATGTTTTTTTTAATTTTTAATGTTTTTTATTTATTTTGAGAGAGAGAGAGACAGCGTGAGCAGGGGAGGGTCAGAGAGAGAGGGAGACACAGAATCTGAACAGACTCTAGGCTCTGAGCTGTCAGCACAGAGTCCGACACGGGGCTTGAACCCACGAAGTGTGAGATCATGACCTGAGCTGAAGTTGGACACTTAACCGACTGAGCCACCCCGGTGCCCCAATGGTTTATTTATTTTTGAGAGAGAGGGAGAAAGACAAGGGGAGGAGCAGAGAGAGAGGGAGACAGATTGTGAAGCAGGCTCCAGGCTCTGAGCTGTCAGCACAGAGCCCAACGCAGGGCTTAACTTCACCAGCTGTGAGATCATGATCTGAGCTGAAGTCAGACCCTTAACTGACCAAGCCGCCCAGGCGCTCACCGGCTCCCCTCCTTCTGTGATGCCCTCACTCCCGTCCCAGCCTAACACTTCCCTGTTGACAGGACTCTCTGGGCATGACGACACAGGGCTGGGGCCCCTCACCTGAGACCAGCAGCTCCAGGGGGTCACTGGGCTGTGACAACACGTAGGGGGAGGTGCTCTGTGAGCCGTAGCACCTGTAGTTCCCCTCATGGTCTGAGGTCACAGGACTAAAGCTGAAGTTGACCTGATAAGGTGCAGCTGTGTCCTGCAGATGAATGTGCTGGGGAGGAGCAGGTGACCCCTCCTTGGACAGGTAGAAGGTATCGAACCAGATTTCAGAATGACATTCCAGGGTCACGTTCTCTCCCCAGGACACTAGGGGCCCCGGCTGGGCCGAGAGGGATGGTTTCCTGAGCAGTCCTGTGGGAGTAAATGCATGACCTGTACAGATCCGCCCCTCCTCACACGCCCTGGACCCTGAGCTGGGGGACTACTGTGCTTTCTCCTGGGGTCTGGGTGACCCCCTCTCATTTCCTCTTGCCTCTCGGATGGGTGTCCTTTGTCTCCCTGGCCCGCACTGTCCCCTTCTAAGCCCCAGCTCAGCCTCTGCTCCTGACCCTCTGCCTGGACCCCGTCACCCCCAGGGGTGACCACTGTCCCAGCACCCTGAGTAGACACATATGGGGAGTGGGTGCCTCACCCGTGACCAGGATGTCCAGGGGGGCACTGGGGGCCGACCACGTGGAGGAGAGGTTGTGTCCACCATAGCATCTGTACCGGCCCCCGTGGGAGCTGCTCACTGGGCCCAGGGGGAAGTCGGGGCTGGGCTGCCCATCTAGACGCATGAGAGGTGTGAGCCCCTCGTCCTTTGTCAGAGCGAAAGTGTCAGATCTGGCCTCCGAGTGACACTGGAGGGTCAGGTTGTCTCCAGGCTGCACCAGCGAGCCCGGCTGGGCTGAGAGGGTGGGCTCCCTGTAGGCGCCTGCACGGGAGGGGACGGTGGTACCGGGGGGACGCACACCCCACATTGGCCCAGGGGTGTGAGGTGAGGCTCTCGTGGGTCCCCCCTCCACGGCTCCCATCTGTGGCCTGACTTCAGAAGACCAGTGTCACTCAGCCCCCATCACCCCCAGGGCTCCACTGGGCACATGGCTTAGGTCAGTCATTTGGGGCCCAGAAATAGATGGGGCAGGGTGGGGCCCCCTCACCTGTGACCTGAAGGTGCAGGGGCTCACTGGGGAGTGACCACGTGTACGGGTAGGAAGCTGGAGAAACGTAGCACCTGTAGGTCCCCCCGTGGGAGGGGCTCACAGGGCCCACAGTGAAGAGCGCCTGCCTCTTCTCACGAGGGAACTTCAATTCCAGGTGTCGGGGCGCGTCAGCTCCCCCCTCCTTCAGCAGACGGAAGGTCTGCCGTGGGATCTGTGAGCTACAGGAAAGGGACACGTTCCCTCCTGAGGCCACCATGGGGCCTGGGATGGCCTAGAGGGAGGGTGCTGGGTACACTCCTGAGGAGAAGGAGGGTCAGTGTTACAGGGGCCATCGCCCCTGTACCCCAGTGTGGACTGTGAGCGAGGGTCCCCCTCAGGCCACACTCTGTTCCCTTCCACCTGGAGGAGGGGCCCCGGGGCGGGGGGCAGCTCCCACCTTACCTGTCACCACCATGGTCAGGAAGTCACTCCCCTCTGACCAGCCGTTCCGGCTGTGATACTGACACTGGTATCTCCCTGCATCATGCTGGCTTGCGAGTTCAAGGGAGAAACTGGCCTTGTTGCTGGAATCCTGTGAGATCTCCATGGACATGTGTCTAGAGGCCCTCTCTCTATACAGATAGAAGACATCAGCCTGCCAAGGCGCCTGACACCAGATGGTCACAGGGCTCCAGTTGGTGACGTTGGGGCTGGGGTCAGCCCAGATGGAGGGTCTGGAGGGGGACCCTGGAAAGGAATCAGATGAGGAATTAGGAGCGTGGCCTTCTCCCTTGTTTCCCACCTGTCACCCCAATTCCCCTCCCGGACTGGTCGCCATCAGCCCAGACCCTCTGTGACCCCAGCTGCCCTGCGGGTTGTTGGGTGGAAACAGGGAGTCTGGGGAGCACTCACTTGCCTGTACCTGGCCCCACGGGTCCCGACACAGCCCTGGAAGAGAGTTCCCTGTGAGAGTGCCCCCCCCTCCCCCATGTAGCTGCTCCAGGCCTGGTCAGGTCCACTGACCACTGGGGCCAGTCTGAGCTGAGCACTCTCCTCCCCCAGAAGTCCTGCCCCCAGTGTGTCCCCTAGTCCTGGGGTCTGAGACCAGGACCTGCAGAGGCAGGAGGGAGGCCGACCCCATCCCTCCTCTTGCCAGAAAGCTCACCGAGGCACAGAAGGGCAGTGAGGGTCGGGGTCCTGATGCTGCCTCCCATGGTCCCGGCGGTGCAGACAGCTTGCAGAGTCCTCAGAGCCTGTAGGACAGACACATGCGCGGGGTGTGACAGCCCGGGCTCCGTGTTCCCCGTCACATGAGGGGCCTCCCAGGAAGGGGAAGAGCCCTGCAGGGCCCCGCTGTGCTCTCCCTGAAGGGAGGCCCGACAGCAGAGGCCCCGTGACCTTTCAGACCAGATGTGAGTCTCACCAGACCCCACACACCCTGCCCGCTCCCCACCAAGCCCAGTCCAGGGAGGGACTCTGCTCTGGGACACGGGGGAGGGAGGGAGGGCCGGGGCTGGGGGCCGGTCCAATTTCAGTTCTGGTTCTGCCTGTGCCCCTTACAGAGGCTGTGAGATCTGGGTGAGACACTTCCCTTTCCTGAGTCCCGTAAATGCAAAGTTTCTTCCTTCCTTTCACCTTCCTGTCAGTCACTCAGTGTTTACTGAGTAGTTACCATGTCCAATCATGACTCCAGGCCCTGGTGAGGGCGCCGGACTCCTTCCTTCCCTGGACTCATGGGGCTCTGATTAGTGACAACAGACAGTACAAACATTTAGGTGGGAAACAATTCTGTTTCAGTCTTACAAGACTGTGCCAGGTTGGCACTAAAAGAAAACAGGGGAGGGGGCACCTGGGGGGCTCAGTCATTTGGGCATCCGGCTTCAGCTCAGGTCATGATCTCACAGTTTGAGTTCAAGCCCCGCGTTGGGTTCTGTGCTGACAGCTCAAGAGCCTGGAGCTGCTTCTGATTCCGTGTCCCCCTCTCTCTCTGACCCTCCCCCACTTATGTTCTGTCTCTCTCTTTGTCTCTCTGTCTCTCAGAAATAAATATACATTAAAAAAAGCAAAAAGAAAAAAGAGGGAACCATGAGATTCGATAACAGGTAGACATCATACAACCCGTGGTCCTTCTGGGGGATGGAGGGACAGAAGACAGGAACCAGGGGTCAGCGGAAATGGGATGGGGGACATCCTTGGCCAGAAAGATCTTGAGCTGCTCTCAGAATTGAGAGCAATCAGGAGGAAGCCAGGGCCTTGTCACACAGGAGTTTGATAATTGGGCCAGCTTCAGAGAGTTCATCTTTAAAGCAGCGGGAAGGCTTTAGCCCCCAGACAGCATGAATGGATTTCTGCGTGGAAAAGACTGACACTGTAGGAAATAAAATGCGGGAGGGCTCTGTTAATAATTAGCTGTATTGATAATCATTAGTGAGACCCCAGCACTCCATCTGCCCCTCGGATCGTGTGTTGATCAGTATTTTAAGTTGTTTATGTGGTTTTTCATTGAAGCCTCACAGGAATCTGACACAAAACACATTCACAGTTGAGTGCGACAAAGCAGGTGGCTTCCCAGTCTGGCAGGTCGGAGAGGAGTTGGCCAGGTTCAGACTGGCTGACGGGCCAGCCGGGCAGAAGGCACGGAATTGTTAAGTAGCCCGGTTTGTGTGTGCTCGGGAGGTGTTTGGTTGGCCGGGGCTGCTGGCTTTAGCGCCGGCCCGATAGTCACAGCCTCGAAGATGAGATGGTGCAACATGGACCTTTGTGAAGGAGAGCGTGGGAGCGCTTTGAGCCTCACACAGGATGGGACCAGGCAGGGTGATTGGAAGGGTCCCGCGGAGATGGTGGGAGGAGCAGGAGGGAGGCTGGCGAGGCGATGCACGCGGGCTCCCTGAGTGTTGCGATGGCTCAGCCGTTGTTAAGTGTCTCAAGGGGCGTGGTGCTGTGCATCTGGTGACTGGACGTGAGCGCAGGGGGGCGAAGGCTGTTCACCCCCTGTCTAGTGCCTGGAGGAGCCAGTGCGGCCGCCCCGGGGAGGACGACCCAGGGAGGGGGGGCATCGGGAGCCCATCGAAGACAGACGGTCATTTCTCAGAAGGCAGCCCTTCCTCGTGCCCTGGTTTTGTGGATTTTCTTTACCCCCAACACTTCCCTTCCCTGACTTCCTTGTTCCTGTAAGTCACCACCATCTTCTCCTCACCACCTTCCTTCAGAACCTCTGAGTCATTTCTGCCCCCTCAGGGCCCCGTCCCCTCCATGGGACAGCCTTTCCACCCCATACTGCGTGCCCCTCCTCCAGGCACTGAGTAGGGGCACGCGCTGGAGGCAATTCAGAGACTTAATTGAAGCTGAAACACTGTCAGTCATCAGCACACACTTCCCCTTTCTGAGCCTTCTGTTCCTCATAGTGATGAGGTAGTGGCCTCTCCGCCAGGAGTGCTGTGGTTCCTGACACACAGAGCTCTGGGCTACGTCTGGGGCAGTTCCGTGTGCGGCTTGTCAGCGTTGAGGTGACTGCCGTGCCAGAGTTCATATCACAGGGCCAGTTGAAGGCCACAGCCAGCATCCACTCCAAACACCCTGAAATGCTGGATAAAGGTCGTAAGATACATGGCCACAGTGAAAACGAACCGGAGCCAGAAATGCAGCGTGGACCCCTAGACGTAAGCAGAGACCAGTGCTGATGGGCTTGGCAGTACGTCCTAGGGACGGGCCCCAGGACCTGGTTTGCTGTGTCCGTGTGGAGACAGGTGGCACAGCCCCAGAGGAGATGCGGGCTCCCGGTGTGAGGCCAGGAGCTCTGGGCCTGCTGCCTGTCCGAGTGGGGGCTGCCGTATCCCCACTCACTGACCTGAGGTCATGCCTAGACACGACAGTATGGGCAGCTATCAGTGTATATCTACACGTAGCTTGGAGCTCAGTTTTGAGTGATCCATGCACCGCTAGAACCCTAAGCAGAACACTGAGTTTGGGACACCTCCAGATCGTGAGTCTGAAGCAATTGCATGCTGGTCACTTGTTGAGGACTTCACAACACAGGAAAATGGGGGTGATAACTTCTGTGAAGGGGTGGGGTCAGTGGCAAAGTGACCAAGCGTATGCAATCAACTGTGCCATGAAAAATAGAGTACAGACCCAGTCACTGAGAGTTTTCCCAACCAAGGCAAGGGAGAGAATTTGGAAATTGGAAAGAGACTTAAAAATAAGCATGCTTTAGGTCTTCAGCTAGAGGAAGATGAGACAGTCATGATATAAGAAGAGTCGTTCAGCGGAAAAAAAGAGATGCTCCCTAAGGAAATTTCATTGATCAAAACTCATTAATTGAATGAAGGGACCCAAAAGATCTCTTCCATAATAGAAGATAGCAGATCAGAAAATTGGGGAACTGGAAAACAAAACTCCAGAGGTATCCCAGAATGCAGCTGGACGTCATAAAAATAGAAATCAGAAGGATAAAATCTGAGACATGGAGAACAGAATAACCAGGTCCCAAGACACGTCTGTCCTTTGTTTTAGTGGAGGAGACGAGAGAATGATGAAGTGGCGGTAATCAGGTGTCATTGTTAAGGGGTTTGGGAAGTGAAACCGGAGAAATGGGCAGATGGGCCGTGAAAGCTGAACTGTAACTGGGAGCTGCATCCTCGAAAGCAGGCCACACTGTCGGTACCCGAGCCGGTTGGTAACCTGCTCAAACACACACACACACACCCTCCCCAGAGGATTGTACCAGAACCCAGTGCTGTCTGATGTAAAATTCAAAGAAACAAGAAGGTCTGAGTAACACTCAAAGGAAAAAATAATCAACAGACACCAACCCTGACCTGACCAACTGTCAAAAGCCTTTTTTTTATGATCAATTTTCATGAAATAAGGGCAAACACTCTTGCAATAAATGGAAAAAAATAGACTTCTCTCAGCATAGAAATTATAAGGGAGGGAAAGGATATTTTAGGAAAAAATTAAGTAACTGAAATAAACAATTCATTGGTCTAATGGCAGGATGAAGATGACAGAAACAGGGGTCCATGAACTTGAAGACAGAACAAGGGAAATGCAATCTGAACAGTAGGTGAAAAAAAAAGATTTAAAAAAATGAATGCAGGGGTGCCCGAGTGGCTCAGTCAGTTGAGCCTCTAACTCTTGATTTCAGCTCAGGTCATGATCCTAGGATCATGGGATCAAGCCCTGAGTCAGGCTCCATGCTGAGGGTGGAGCCTACTTGGGATTCTCTCTCTCTCTTTCTGCCTCTCTCCCCCGTTTGCACTCTCTCTCTCTAAAATAAATTTTTTAATTTGTAGGGGTGCCTGGGTGGTTCAGTAAGTTAAGTGTCTGATTCTTGATATTGACTCAGGTCCTGGTGTTGCTGTTGTGGGACGGAGTCAAGTCAGACTCCACTCTGAGCTTAGCGTGCTTGGGATTCTCTCTTCCTCTCTCTCTACCCCTCTCCCTCTCTCGCGTGTTCTTTCTCAAAATAAATAAATTTAAAAAAATATTAAAAAGGATTTTTAATAAAAGATAAAAATTTAAAAGTGAACACAGATTCAGGGATTTGTGAGTCAATTGTATGTAATCAATCTGCCAGCAAAAAGAGAATGATATCAATGAAGAAAAAAGTTTGAAGAAGTAAAGAGCTGTGCATTCCACAGATTTGTTGAAAGTCATACATTGACATGTACAATGTCTAAGATGCTCAGCAAATGTAAAATAGGATGAGCTTTAAGAACCATGGCCACACACATCATAATCATAATTCAGGGGCGCCTGGGTGGCTCACTTGGTTAAGTGTCTGACTTCAGTGCAGGTCATGATCTCACGGTTTCTGGGTTCAAGCCCCGCGTCAGGCTCTGTGCTGACAGCTCAGAGCCTGGAGCCTGTTTCTGATTCTGTGTCTACCTCTCTCTCTGATCCTCCCCTGCTCACGCTGTCTCTTTCCGTCTCTCAGAAATAAATAAAACATTAAAATTTTTTAAAAATAATCATAATTCAACTAGTCAAAAACAAAAAAGGAAAAAAATAGAGAAAAATGCCACTTTACATAAAGAGGGAAATTTGAATGATTACATATTTCATGTCAGAAACCATCATGGTCAGAAGACTTTAAAGTTCTGAGACAGGGGCTCCTGGGTGGCTTAGTCGGTTAAGCGTCCGACTTTCGCTCAGGTCATGATCTCGCGGTTTGTGGATTCAAGCCCCGCGTCGGGATCTGTGCTGACTGCCAGCTCAGAGCCTGGAGCCTGTTTTCAGTCTGTGACTCCCTCTCTCTCTGACCCTCCCCTGCTCACACTGTCTCTCTCTCTCCTAGAAATAAATAAAAAAATATTTAAAAAAATAAAAATAAAAAATAAAGTTCTGAGACAGCCAACCTGGAATTCTTATGGATATATTCTTCAGGAATGGCATTCCTGGGAGGTTCCGTCAGTTAAGCATCTGACTCTTGATTTTGGCTCATGGTTCATGGGATTGAGCCCCATGTTGGGCTCTGCTAGTGCAGGGCCTTCCTGGGATTCTCTCCCA